GCTCCCAACTTCACTGTCTCTTTGAACTACCTGAAGCCTATAGGGTTGCTTCTTTTAGGCTTGATTCTTTCTTTCCTTCCTTCTTTCCTCCTCTTCCCCCTGCTCCCCTCTTCTTCCTCCTGCTCTTCCTCCTCCTCCTGCTCTTCCCCCTTCTCCTGCTCCTCCTCTCCCTGCTCCCCTCTTCCTCCTCCTCCTCTTGTTCTTCCTGCTCCTCCTCCTCTTTCTCCTCCTCCTCCCCCTCCTCCTCCTTCCTTTTGTTTTCCTAGTCTAATTGTTCTGGCTAATGTTTCCAGAACCATACTGAGTAAGAGTGGTGATGGGCGACATCCTTATTTTGTTCCTGATTTGAGAGAGAAAGCATTCAGTTTTTGTCCTTCTAGCATGATGTTGGCTGATGGAGTTTGTCATAAGTGGCTTTTATCAGAATGAGATAAAGACCATCAATTCCAATTTTCTGTAGGGTTTTTATCATGAATGGGTGCTGGACTTTTTCAAAAGCTTTTTCTTTTTCTTTCTTTCTTTTTTTTTGCGGAACTGGGGATCAAGCTTTTTCTGTATCTATTGAAATGATCATTTGGTTTTTGTCTTGGCTCTGTTGGTATTGTGTGCTACATTTATTAAATTATGTATGTTGAACCATCCCGGAATCCCTGGAATGAGTCCAACTTAATCATGATATATAATCTTGTTTGTTGTGGTGATTGTTGTTGTTACTTGGAATTGAACTCAGGACCTTGAACTTACCAGGTAGCTTACAACTGAGCTACATGCCCAGGCTATAATTTTCTTGTTTTGATGCATTCTGTTTGCCAGTATCTTATTGAGGATTTTTGCATCTATTTTCACTAGTAATATTGGCCTGTAGTTTTCTTTTTTAGTTGGGTCCTCCTCTGGTTTTGGTATCAGGGTAAAGCTTGCTTCCAGCAATGAATTTAGGAGTACTGCTTCCCTTTCAGTTTCATTAAAGAGTTTGAGAAGTAGTGGTACTAGATCTTTTCTAAATTTCTTGTAGAATTCAGCAGTGAATTAATCAGGGCCTGGGCTTTTCTTTGTTGGTAGATTTCTAATTGCATCCTCAATTTCATTGATTGATAGCAATCTATTTAGAATATTTATATCTTCTTGATTCAGCTTTGGTAATTTATATATATTTAAGAATCTTGCTTAAGTATCTGCCTGGCAAGAGCAGGGTCCTGAGTTCAATCCCTGGTACCACACACACACACACCCCAAAAGAATCTATTTCTTCTTTTTTTTTTTAATGTGTGTGTGTGTGTGTGTGTGTGTGTGTGTGTGTGGCCAGCTCAACCCACCAGGGGGCGGGGCTGGCTGGCATGTGGTGCTGGGGGATTGAACCGTGGTCCCTGTGCTTTGCTAAGCTTGTTCTAAGTAGGTGCTTTAGACCATT